TGATTTTTTTTGTAATACGCGTTAATACTTTAAAGATAATGAATAAATTTGCATGGCATGTTGATATGGTGAAACATTATTTGTCAATGGAAGACTGTTACCCTGTTGCCCGAATTTTAGACAGGTATGATAAAATTCACTAACATCATGTTCATCCGAGTCAAAGACATAAAAGCTATATGTACTTGAACTTGATAATAAATAAAGAGCTTTGTTAATTGACTTAATGGGAGATTAATCTACTATTTTGTTGAATTGCTTCAAAATCCTCGTCCTATCAATAAACCCATAACACCTTATTTAAAATTGCAGACGAAAGTTTCTGTTGTTAAAATGTTACAGTATTTCAGGCAAATCATCATACATGTACCACTCAAGCCACCCTTCAAACAAAAATGAATAAAAAAAAATACCGGAACGAACCTACGGAAAAGAAAATACTATGTAATAACAATTCGTAAAAATGGCTTACTAAAATTTTAAGTTATAAAGAGTCAATTTATTGTTGAATATGTTTGCATTTCATTTCACGGTTCGCTATTTATAACTATAACGCGACACGGAAACCTAAACTACTTCCATACATAGATTTTCGGACATTCACAATGCTAAGCTAGGTCATCTATTTCTATCTTTCGAATTCATGTACATACATAATTCAATGTGTCCTACAGAATAATAAGTAATTTCTATAGAAGATACAAATGTTAGAGATATAAATTACCTATTTTGTTTTGTCTTTTATACTGCCTTCCCAGCTGTTGAAGCGTGAAATTTGTTCCCGTTCTCATTCATTTATATGATATGCTGCGAATCACCGCAGGGGAATCCAATATTTGACTTTACATAATAGAAATGGAAAGGAATTCTTGCCTCCGAATTTATTTTTAGCTGTAAATCGAAGGGATTTAATTTAAAAAATAGTCAACACAAATAGCTCCGCGCCTGTTGGCTCAGATTAATAAAAGGTAAATCATTTTTCTGGTGTTTTATGAAATATAAACATATATGTTTACCATAACTCTACTAATATCTAGACCCACAAATTATCGAATTTGAACATGATAAATTCACCTTTAACGTTTAAACACATGCATGCTTCATCTAAACAGGCTGTAGATATTATATAAATTCTTTAAAACTGTAAGAGTGTAATTACATTTACCAACATCTGTGTATAGCTCTGGTGTTTGTAAAAAGAAGCGGATTGGAACTAAATATCAAATAAATTTTACATGCACATCGATTAAGAAACAAACCACACCTAGTTAACAATATTAAACCACAAGAAATTCACGTAATTCAAACAGAATCAATCCTCCTCGGATTTCGTGCCTCTCGGTGTTACGTATACATGTATCCACCTATAATTGACTTAATGTGAATTTATACAAGTTTGCTTCTTTAAAAAGGAGCATGCGAGAGGTCTTTTTGCAGCTGTGGAAGATTTGTTTAATGCGAGAAAAAATGGGGATATTTTTGCATAAAAGACACAATGAATTGTTATAAATTATAAATATTTAACTAAAAGAATTTATTATATATTGAATATAGTATCATTATGAAAGTTTGTTTTATACATGAAAGATTATATGCTGGAGAAATGAACTTTTTTCTTGGCGCATTAGGGATATTTTTTCTACAAAGGGAATTAAATTTAAAATAAACGATATTTATTTTATGCTTTTCAGTGGATTACTGATTTATCCGTGAAAATTATATTTGATAATTTCACAGTGAAAATTATCAAAATATAATTTCACACTTTTCAGTGACGAAACTACTTTTTTAGATTTTTCCCATGTGGTACCTCAATTTTATTTTTGCTAACAATTCTGACAATGTCAGGCTGTTTAAAGAAAACGCAAAGCTGAAATTGATAATCAACTTAAATGTCAAAAGTAATAAAAAGAAGAAAACTTTTTCTATTCATTCAAATTCCAATCACCAAATTTCATCTCTAAATTTTTTGTTTCATTTTTACAGTCTGACAAATACATTCCTTCCACATGCAAACTGCTCTTGATGACATTTGGGCACATTAAAGTATCCTACGAGCAATAACTGCCCGTATGCTTTAAGAAAAAATTGAAAAAGCAATGACAGCTATCACCTCGTAGAACAATTAAACCACCCAGCGTTTCCGAGCAAGTTCCAAGTTTTCCATTTTCATAGCTGATTTTTCATGTTTTCACATCTTCAAACACTTATTTTTTGTCTGTTTCAATCCTAAAATATGTTTTCTTTCTTTTAAAAAGGTGTATGACTAACAAATCCAATGATATCTCTGAATCAAACACAATTATTTTCCTCCCTTGAAATACACACTTTAAAAATGGCTGCCGCTTACATCAAACAAAGCCAGGTCTAATATAAATACGCAGTAAGTAACAGAAATATGGATGGATGGTTGGAATTTTTCTCCTACAAGAATTGTTTATTTTTATTATTAAAACAAGCGATCATTCATATTTTTTTAAGAAAATAAATAATATCACTGTCATTTAACGTTGATTGTCGGACTTATTTTACAGCTCAAGACTTCTTGTTTTTAATGAGAAATTCCGACTAATTGGGGCTCTCAATGGGGAAAACAGATTTTAATATTTCCGTTAATATTATGGAAATTTCGTTTTAACTTGTCTTTTAGCATAAAATAAAAAGAAAATTTGTTTGTTTGTTGTGTAAGATGAAATTTTATTTCATCTCGTGAACTTTAATAACAGTATTCTCACTCGTGGCTACGCCACTCGTGAGAATACCGTTTTTAAAGCACACTCGATGAAATAAAATTTCATCTTACACACAAACAAACAAATATCCTCTATATATTAAAAGTAGTATCAAAATAATTTTTTTTTTGCAAAATTCAATAAGCAAATTTTCGGTTAATGTTTGGTAAGTATATGGCAACATTTTCTTACATTTTCCAAAACGGGCATAAAGTATGTTAATCAAACAATTTTAAGTCAATGATTTACATAAAAATGTTTATATCATTTGATTGGAATGAACAGTATATAAAGCTGCATGCATCTAAAGATAATCAAACTTGAGTAAAATTTGTACCATTTGCGCCAAATTATCTCCGTTGCGTTATTTAGTCATACCGGTTCAAAAGTTTTAGGAGCAGAAAAGTTTCGGTACACGGTTCACTCGGTCATATAATAGTGCATGGTGATATTGTAGCTATAATGTTCAATGTAACGATTTTTACCTACCGGCTCCTTTGTTAAAAGCGGTCTAGTAAATCACTTACCGACCGCTTAACAGGTCTGCAAATATATACCGACCTGTTTTTGTTCTATTGTTCTCTACAATAGAAAATATGTGAAGTCGAGAAATTCGTGCATAACAGTACACAACAATATTCACCGTAAAATAACGCTGAATTGTGGGTGGTGGGGGGGGGGGTAATGACCACTTTGAATAGGAAAAAGGGTCGATATATATTTTAAAGATTAATAGAAATAAATTAGCGCATATGGCTGTAAGGACCCTCATAACATATTCAAGATTATTTGTGAGAAAAACGAACTGGCTACTGTTCTGGCGTTGAAGTTTATGTTTTGCCGATATAAAAAAGTACAACAACACACATTTAGCCTTTCTTCATAGTTTGCTTTTCGGTATACCTAACACATTTGGCGAACTATATAGCTTCATAAGATACTAGTTTCCGGCATTTATTTCAACAACTATGTCTGAATTTGCACAATATTGCATTATTTTAACAATTTTGCATGATGGGATATATACGACAATTATATTATTGGTGCATATCGAATCAAAGTCAACTTCTGCATCTTTTTTTACCAAAATATTACTTTCAGTGAGAGTATAGTTCATCTTAAGTATAAGACCGTTTTTCTCATTTTTTCCCAGTTATTTTTACATTACAATTTTAATTTTGTATACCAGTACTCGCCTGTTCTTCGCAAGAATACGACTTGCGCTTCCATTCTAGACCGCGTGCTTACATGCGGTCTTATCAAACATATGAATAACGGATGATGCTAATTAAGAATACACCGAAAGAAAATTCTTCCAAACATGGATGAAATTCTAAGAACATTTAAAATCAGCCATCATAAAAAACAACAACAACAAAACCCAACTTACATGACAGTTTAACTACATGTATTACTAATATTTATCATAGAACCCCGTCTTTTACTTTCCTTTGAAAAAATAGTATATTTTAATTATATAAGAAATAGCTTGATCATCTATTTACCATGAAATTTATTATATATAAAGATAAAGTGTTCCGTTTTTATGATTAGAAAACATTTTTATCTTCCTCAATATTATTTATATTATTAATATGTTACGTATTCATATATCAAAATAATGATCTTACCTTTCCCTACTCGACAAGTTCTGTTTTCATTTTCTGTGACTCAACTCAACAAGTACATTACCTGACCTTATTACATAATGAAACCTCACGAAAATCACGAGATTATTCAAATAACACCTGATTTGTGAACGAATGAATTACAAGAGCGAAGCGGATGGTATCTTTGCTTGGCTTTGAAATGCTTTCTTAAACATGATAAAGTACATAAATAATATGTTACTAAGTCTTGTGAATAAAATTAATAAATACTGAGTTAAAAACTGATGAATGGATATAAAAACAAATGAGCATGTAGGTAAGATAGTTACCGCACTCGGAATAGGTCTGCATAGTATTTACAGACCCGGTGGCTACGCTCTCTCGGTCTTCAAATCGCCACCCGGGTCTGTAAATACTATGCAGACTTATTCCTCGTACGGTAACTATTACCTCGGAACATTAAATAGTAAAACGCTATTCGGAAAACAATACGGTAATCGATTTATACAGTTTAAAAGATTAAAACGGAATGAAACATCCACGTAGCACTAAGTAACGAAAATGATATTTTCCGATTTTTGTATGTATCGATTTGTTTACACTGATGTTAATTTTTCGTTAAAGTTAAGTCGTATTTTGAAACGGAGCATGCGCAAAATATGATTTTACGCTTTAAAAGAGGTTCATTCACTATAATGAGATACGCAAAACTGGATGCCGCCAGCAAATCAGTCTGATCACTGTGAAGAGGTATGATGACCTCTCTAACAAGTAAAGATTTACACACCAACACAGGCTAGTTAAATTGGAGGAATATTAAGCATACAGGTAAAAATGTTGTTCTGATTTAATTGTTTAAGGTTGTCACAAGATTAATATTGTATTTATTTATTTTTATTTTATGTTTTACGTCACATCGACACAGTATAGATCATATCGCTATGTTCCAGTTTTACTGGTGGAGGAAGAGCTCAAATGCCCTTCCGTGCATTATTTCAGGCACGAACGGGCACTAAGTAGAACCACCGACGTTCCGTAAGCTAGCTGGATAGCTTACTCACATGAAAGAATCCAAAGTCCCTGTCGGGATTCGACACCCACAGCGGTGAGGGGCAAGTGGTTTGAAGTCAACGACCTTAACCACTCGGCCAAGGACGTCCCATTAATATTATATAGGGTACTTTAATACTCTCATAGAATGGAACTATTTGCTAACTATAAAAGTATACTCTAAACCTAGTACTGTCAACGAGTCGATAGTAATATCCGTTTAAATATTCATAAATGCGGACAATATATAGATCTATGCACAGACAGGAACTTGAAATTCTATAAACAATTGAAAAATGTAAGCAAATAATTAAAAAGTAACGCCAAATATATAATATACCCATCTATACTATAAATAAACACAAGGAATGCAACGCCTTTTTGCACACTCGATACACATTTTATCTAATTGCACGCATGGAAAAACAATTTCAACAAACCGGTTTAACAGGTTTAACAAAATGAGCCAAAATATTGTCCGCATCTATGAATATTTAAATTAGATTATATAGATAATATATTAAATTTTTAAATTAGAAAACAAAATATAAATGACCTTAAATGACATTGGCGGTATCTTATGTCATGATTAAACTGTTGTGTATTGAAAGATATCTAAAGTTTATACCACTGCTTTGGTTAAAGTAAAATAATAATAAAAAACTTTACATTTTGTATACATTACATTACGTTTACAATTTTATGACAAATGTCACCACATAGTAAGTTACAATAACTACGGTGACCCACATGAATATCTATAAATATCCTTCAGAATATATAGGTAATGTTCATTTTTAATAGAAGGGACGTCTTTTCGTATTTTAGGGAGTTGTGATATTTTAATCTAAACATTTGTGATAATAGTTGACTCAATGATGAAATATATTTTTTTGATCTATGAAATCGTTAGAATATCAAAAATAAAAATGAAGCACACCAATCAGCTTTAGCAGTTGATACAATTTTTATAACACGTGTCTGGTTTGAGTCTGAAAACGGGACAAATTTTGTTACGGAGTCCGAGAGGGGGCATTAAAGAAAGAAATTAACCCGTTTTTAGGACTAAACTAGGCAGTAAAACTTAAAATGTCTTTAAACACATGTATCATGTTTTAATGACAATTTTATTCATTATTATTTTACCTTCGAGTCGACGGATTTGTTTACAAAAAAAAACCTGTCCGATTTGAACATCGATTTCAGTTCTCTCGCCCATCCACTTCCTGTTTACCGACTTATTTGACATTAATTTTCAATGGTAGGAAATGGTCGTAACTGTTTTTTAAGCAACTACTTACCACAGCCTCTTCATATTTGGTTTACAACATTAACACGTGGTGTCATTCCGTGGGATTCGATTTTAGGTCTGTTGCTCATCCGCTTCATGTTTACCGACTCAGTTTAATTTTCGACATTAATGGTCAATGGTAGATTTTCATAACCTCATGTTATTTGATATACAAATGCAACCCGGCCATTTCTTTTACCCATAATCATTTGTGTCAGCTTGTCAGTGAGGAAAATAATCATTGCTTTAAAGCTACTATCCCACACATTGTAGTTGTTTTTTTTTTAAATAAAATGTCATCAAAAGATCATTTTTCACCACAGACTCTCAGTGACAGACTCGTATACATTGATATAGAACTAGATGATTAATAAATGTCTTGTCCAACGAAAAGCATCTTAGTCAAGTATTTGCAATGTTTATCCTGATGTAATTTTAAATCATTGCAACGTTTTATTTTGTAAATATTGTAAATTTTTACTCAAATTATAAATACGCCCATTAACTGGTTCCAAGGAGATTTGTTGGTTGCGGGTATAACAGTTGTGCGTTTGGTAAGTTTTCTTATTCTGAAATCGATTGTTGCACAATATATCATAGAAAATTATGTCTGTAAAAAGAGACAAAAAGAAAAGAAAAATATATTTTAATAATCCGGTTTAAAGCTAATATTTATTTAGTAAGTTCTACTTGCATCAAACTGTCCTACTCGCTACAAATTTCTTTCGTAATGAAATTCTACGTATTAAACTGTTCAAATTATAGCCTGGGGTAAAAACTGTCCCCGCCGGGACGTCTTGGCTTTTTCTAATATAGTAAATATTTAAAGTCTTCTGCTTGATAGCTTCAGGAGCTAATTCTTAGATATAAAGCACGAAATATTGTGTAGAAGTCTTCAACAAAAATTGTCATATTATAATGTTTGGGTCAAAATTGGCACTACCCTGGATTAATATCTCTGATTTTGAATTTGCTTTCTTTTTGTAGCTTAAATGCAGTCCAAAAAGTTGTACACATCGATAACGTAAGGTCTTTTCTACTCGGATACTTGTTCCCTTGTGAAATTTAAATCATTATGTTGATTGCTGCTCATAAAAGACCCCGAAAAAATAACCCTTTGGGGGGTTTAAAACCGTTTTGAAAAACCCACCTAGTTCCTTTGTCAAAAAATACTCCCCGACGGGCCCGACCCCAAAAATTTAAAATTTTGTACATTAGAATTAAACCCCTTTTTTTTTATTTTTTAAAAAATGCAATTTTTACTCTTTTTCCGTGTTTTTTTGTAAACTTGTTCTATATATGTAAATACAATGAAATATAAAGGGGCCCAATCATAAAGGAAAGAAAAGGAAAAATGCTGTTTAAAACCCAAATTTTCCCTAAAAACCGGGGCAATTTTTGGGCCCCTTTCTGATGATATTGATAATAGCCGAGGAAATTCCACTCGATGATTTCTGCTTTAGAATATAGACTGGCTCATTGGCACGTTATTTTATTGGTAAATAATAAAAAAAGCTAAAAATAAAAAGAATGTTATATTTAAACATGGAAGTATCACTTATTTTAAACTTTAATAAGCTTCCATGACGCTCGGGGACATGTTGATCATCAAGAAAGCTATTTTTAACCGAAAATCTGAAAACTGTGTAATTTTGTTAGAACAAAAAAAATAAACAAAAACAAGACTAAAATTTCCCCATTGCTGACTGAACGAATGCATATCTAATAGATGCCGCATGCACGCGGCGTCTAATAATAAGACGCCTTCTTCTACCTTAAAGGAGATAAGTGCCGATATATGGTTTAACTTAAAATCCATAACTGAAATAAGTTATTTTAAAAATTATTTCATGTTTAGCCATTAAAAGCAAAACGTTAATGGACAGTTGATGATTTTGTATATTGCAGAATGGCCGAAGCGAGTTCCTTCCCGTCGTTTACAGATGGTTCTGATGCCTGTGCTGAAAACTGTTGCACACCATGTGGAGAGGACAATATCAATGAAGAAGCTGTGAAATATTGCCCTGAATGTGACGAGTATCTCTGTACAAGATGTACAAGGCAGCATACTAGGCGGAATGCTACAAAAACACACAAGCTTGTTGATAAAAAAGATGCCAAACGCAGTATCGCTGTTGTTGCTAAATGCCCCCATCATCCGGAACGAGATATAGAGATGTTTTGCAGAACACACGACATGGTTTATTGTACCATGTGTATAGCAACAGATCATAGGTAACACATGTAAAAAAGATATATTTATGTAGCTTTATAATTCATATAAAATCTGGAGCAAATAGTTAACATATCGCATAAAATAAGTTGATATATTTATTTTTTGCCGAAATAATGACTCAAGCTGAAAACTGACTGAAAATTCGAAGACAAAAAAAATGAAATAGAGGTATTGTTACAGTCATGTCTGCGTTCCCGTTGCCGTCCGTAAAACTTTAACCTTGATCATAACTTTTCAAGTTCTTCGTGGATTGTCTTCATACTTGGCCAAAACAACCTTAAAAACAAGACCTTTAAACTTAACCTTCATCCATTAATGACATTGACCATCAAAGTCAAATGTCTAATTTTTGTGTGATTTTTGCTGATTTTTGCTATAAGTGATTATACCAGATGAGTGGTAAATTTGAATTGATTGTCTTTAAACTAGAACACGACAATGTTTTAGGATATACCTGCAAGTTTACCAGAGAATCTTGACCTTCACTCATAAATGACCTTGGCTTTGAATTTTCAATTATCGATTTTTTTCATGTAACTGACTTTTACTTAGTAGAATTAATGAATGGATTCACTTTATTAAGACACAAACTTCTTTAAGATTAGACCTTCACATGTATATTAAATTGAGCTTGGTAATTGATAAATGGATAATTTTTTTTAAAAACTTTTGGGCTAAAAACCCCTTTTGGAAAAAAATTCCTTAAATGTTGAACTGAAATTTTCCCCTTTAGAAATTTGGGAAAACCCTTGGCAGTCAATGTCAAATTTTAAAAGGTTAGTTTTTATAATTTTGGGTTTTTTTATGTACGGGTTCCCATTTATAAGGGCAAAACATTACTTTTTTAAACAAAAAGACATGATGAAGATTTCGAATTATCCTTGAACCCTTAAAAAAAACCCTTTATAAATCAAGGTCCAAAATGATTACAATTTTTGAATGTTTTTTTTGTCCCTTTATTTAAAGGAAATGATTCATAATTGGGGCAAAATAGTGTGACTAAACAAAACTTATTAAAAATTTGTTTTTTTTTTAGTTAAAAAGGGTTTAAAATTTGGGCTGCTTTTTTGGAAAAAAGTGAAAATGTCAAGTTTTGCCCCCGCCCGACTTCGCTCTTGTTATATCATATTTTCAATACAGACTATTTGTTTTATATTTACTGCGGGTTTTATAACGTTTGATGCTAATAATACCGATAATTGTAAAGAAAGTAATTTTACATACTCCAGTGATTTTAAATCAAATAGACATGTAACTGACGGTATACCTTTACAAATGCCTTGAATCTAAAATAATGATATGCATTTGATTTTATCGTATGGAATAAAAGTTTTCATATTACTGTTCATTTTCTTTAATACGGACATTTTCAAATCCAGATGAAGGCTTGCGACATTCAAACTGCGGTGTCAAACATTAGGAAACCTTCTTTTCCTGTGTTGAGTGTGTGTTCATCTTTATAATAATGATATAATGTAAGTATACATCGTGATTTGAAAAAAAACTTACGACAAACGAAGAAAAGAAAAATGAACAACAACAACGAAAAAAGTGAAACAGACACACTATTGCATTATGATATATATTACTAAAGTTAATCATTACATCATTTTCATTTCAGAGCTTGTGAACATGTAGACAAAATTGAATCCAAGTTAACGTCCAATTTAAATCAGACCGAGATTAATCGCCTATCTGATGAATTAACGACAGCAAAGGAAACCTTAATAAATGCGAAAGAGAAACAAAAACACAATCTGGCTTCACTTGAGGAGGAAAGGATCAACATAGACAAGACATTAGATGATATTGAAGAAAAGATGATACAACACATCAGAAAATTGAGACAAGAGGCAGCACAATCTGTAACCAAAAAGTATGACATGATGAAATTAGGACTTGAATCTGAAATCAGCACATCATCTAGTATGATTGAGTCTTTGAAGGAGAGTTTACATCACCTGAAATCAATTGATAGTCTGAATACAGAGCAGCAATTTATTCATTTGAAACTGACGAAGAAGACTATTACAAATGCCAGAGAATTTAATGCACGATCCGCTTCTAAAGGAATATGTTCAATCATTTATACAGCTAATGTTGCATTAGCAGAATTTGTTTCATCAGTTGATTCGTTTGGTCGGGTTCACGAAGGCAAGCAACTGACAAAACCAATGCAATACAAAGTGAAAGCAATGAAAGATATCAATGTAAAACTTAAACGTGATACAAAAACATGTTCAATATCTGATATATGTCAACTACCAGACGGTAGAATCGTGCTTACAGATCGGAATAACTGGAATGTTAAAATACTTGACCTTAAATACAACATCGTAGACAGTTGCGCATTAGATTCGGCTCCCATTGGCTTATGTTGTATCAGCAGCAATGAAGTTGCAATTAAAATGAACAACGACACAGTTCAGTTTGTTTCTGTTGAAACATCTCTGTCTAAAACAAGATGTATTTCAATATCAGGCGGAAAGTATTATGGAATGACATATTGTGATGATGGACTTTGGGTATCTACTGGTTATGGTGTTAACGTATATAATACTGCAGGAACTTTCATCAAATCTGTTGATAAAAATCACAATGGTAACAGGATATTTAAATCAACTACCCAACATATGTCTGTCAATGGTGATACGGTGATCGTTACAGATTGTTCTGATGGTGTTGTATGTTTTAACAAGGATGGTACAGTTGTGAGGGAGCTGAGGGACAGTAGATTGAAGAATTCTAAAGGTGTATGTGTAGCTGATGATGGTACCGTGTTTGTGTGCGGACACAATTCCCACAATATCGTGATGTTCAGCAAAGATGGGGACTGTAAAGGAGAGTTAGTAGCGACAAACTGTGGTTTAACGAATCCTTTGAACATTTGCTACGATAAACATAAAAACACGCTAATTGTGACTTCTAGCAATTCAAATACATTTAAAGTGACTGAGTTCGTTGAATAATATATGTTTTCATGTACGTTGAATATCAAATAGACATTTATAGGGATAGGTGCAGATAAGATTCTTTTACATAATCAAGATGTATTGGTCACATGTTATCAGTTTTATAACATGAAATTACTGTGGAGTATAGTGTGATTTTATTTTTTCAATATTTTGTTTGAAATCACGATCCCTGGTCCGAGAGGCAGAGACAAGAATATCGCCGTTTACTCCCTTAAAACGCGAGTAAAACAATTATTTCCTTATCAAAGTCGTCAAACTGTAAATATCCTTAACAGTGATAAAACCTAATACATTCTTTACATCGAATATATAATTAATATAAAACAAGACACAAGTAGGATTATGGCTTATTATTGGTAGCATAATTATATCGAAAAAACAAAGAAAGAATTTAAATGAATTATTATTTTGAACAATTCGTAAGAAATAAAATTTGAAAATACTTATATGAAAACAGCTGCGAATAATAAGTCGGGCATCTGCGTAAATCCAATAGAAACCCAGTTCAAACCTGAAAATTCTAATTTTGCAGCATAGATTTGATATTATGTAACAAGTTTCTCTCCAGAAAAGCATAAAGCCTATGCATTAAGTCCGTTGTTAATCAAAATATACTATCCGTTGACTTGCGGCAAATTGCCTAAAAAACACAGCCTACGGCCGCCAAAGAATTCTGCAGCCTACGGCCGCCATAAATAAATCGCAGCCTACGGCCGCCAGAAATATTGCAGCCTACGGCCGCCAGAAATATTACAGCCTACGGCCGCCAGAAATATTACAGCCTACGGCCGCCAGAAATATTACAGCCTACGGCCGCCAGAAATATTACAGCCTACGGCCGCCATATACAGTAGTAAATGTCATCCAATTCCATAACCATCATCACCACCTTTATTTAACATCTAAAATAAAACAAGTAAACAAAATATAAATGTGAACAACTTTTAATTTATAAATGCGTATACTTAAACATAACATCATAGGAACACCTTATAAATTTAATTGTTTAGACACAAACAAACGATCTTCCATTGAGTCTTTAATATATCCATCTTTCGCAGACACGGACTTCCACCTGCCATGTCTTTGAATTAACCTATCGGAAACGTTATTATTTGCTGAAGTAGAAGCACCACCGGATCTAAACGAATGTAAACTATACTTTGTTTGATCGAAGCCAAGAGACGTTAAATTCCTTTTAAGTACGTCACGTATGCAGGAATATGAAATAGGTTTATCAATATTTTTCAATCCATACGAACGGGAACTTTTGTCAAAATAAATCTGTCTGAAAATGAATTCGTTTGAATCTGGTTGAATATTAGCTAGCCTTAAGTAACGTTCTAATAAACTTACAGGGCAGGAGGAAGTTCCGGTCCGGGCAATAACTACAGTATTTCCATCCCTCAGAACATCCGTTTTGGATTTTTCTACATAAATTTCACAGTAAGAATCACAAATAGAAATATTACATCTCCTTATATTCAAACACTCACTAATACGAAAAAATCCTGCAAAAGATAATACAAACATACAACAGTTTCTCAAGTCTCCTAAAGAACTGTCCTCAGAAGCATATTTATGAATAAAAGTCTTAAGAATATCTACTGTGATAGGCTCTTTCTTACTAATTGGTTTAGAAATCTTTCTTAAACAACCATGAAGGCACAATTTTAACCAATCATTGCTACATGGACTAACACAATTTGAAACAATATGAGCCCAATTAATAGCATAAAAAATCAGATTCAGCTTAGAACGACTGCAAGTCGGTGATTCTCTAACTACGTGCACCAAATATAAACCGACAGTCACATGAGAAGCCGGTAAAAATTCAAAGTGAAAAGCCTCACACCACTTACTAAAATGTTTAAAAGCCAAAGCATAATTCTTGTTTGTTGATATTTCTTTTCCTCGTAAACACACTTCCTTAAGCTCTGAGAACAGTCCAAGAGAAGATAACTCTGCTTGCTCTTTAGCCTCTTGCCAAACTTTAGTTTTAAACAATGCTGTAAACGATAAAATATATTTAAGTAATAAAACGATCTTTATCTTTTCACATATAAAACAATATTCGTAATCAACATAGAAAATCAAATCAAAATGCAATGTATAAAATTCCGAATATAGAAAAGAAAACCGTTATTTTCCCACGGTGTAACTAGGGACTATCTCAAAGTTATGTTTAAAGAGAAAATTAACACACCAAAATAAAAAAATATTTTTATACAATAAAAAGACATTTAAAACAATGAATTATCTATAAGTTTATGATTAAACTGTTTAATTTCTACAATCTAAACGAATAACCATAACTTTACTAGAAAATCTTTCTGAGCCAAATATAGATCCTTTATACTGGCCTTGTACATAAATCTTAGAAGCTTCCTTAAAAGTTAATACTTCTACTATGTAAGGCGCAAAAATAGAAGCATCTGCAAATAAGAGCGGGAAAAAAGGGCTGGAAGGCCAATATGGAGCAACAACAGTACCCATAGCTTTACAAAACAGCAAAAAATTCAAAGCTTTAGACAACAAAAAAATAGGCGGAACCAACCAATTATTTTCACCTCCCCAATGTACCGAAAATGCATCTACTGCTTCTGTATCTGGCGTCCAAAACAATGAGTTATAACGAGCTAATTTTCTATTCTGATCATTTGCAAAACGATCAACACTATGAGAACCATATAATTCATCAACATACGGATAAAATTCATCACTTACACCATAGTCATCGTAATCTACTATCCTACTACGATCGTCAGCTACAACATTATATTCTCTCTCAATCCACCTTGGTTCCAATGATATGCAACACGAAGCACAGACAGAACCTATATCAATAGCCATACGATTAAGATCTTTTACCATACTACCTTTTTCAATGATATGTACGCAGTTTTTACTATCAGTATTCCAAATCACCTTTTTCCCCCGACAAAATATTTCTAAACGAGCAAAGAGCAAACTTAATAGCCAATAACTCCCTGAATGTAGAACTTTGTTGTTTCTCGTCATCCGTCCAAACTTTGTGAGCAACAGCACCTTCACATTGTATATAAGCGGCTCCAGCTACTGCTGAAGCATCCGAATATACTAACACTGTAGGCAAATAATCATTGAATAAACTTTTATGAAATTCGTTACTAAATACATTTTGCCAAAATACCAAGTTAATATCATAAATATCATGAACGTAAAGCTGCTTGTCCCAAGACAATCTGCTCTCTATTAAACGGAAAAACGCTTTAGTCTGAAACAAACAAACATTACCTAAAACAGGCGACATAGATATTATTTTACCCGCCAACTGTGCTAATTTCCTAGCTGAACAAATAGGAAAAACAGTAAGAATCTGAGTAATAAACGCTCTGACATTACATATTCTCCGCTCTGGAATAAGAAGCCTGCCATTTTTCAAATCCCACAAAAAACCTAACCATTCTAAAGACTGCACAGGCTCAAATACTGACTTATCAATATTAACAACTAAACCAGCTTTTTTTAAAGTATTAAAGACAAATTTGGAATCTTTAAGTGCAAGTTCGAAGTTTGCATTAACGCACCAACCGTCGTCAAGAAACAAAACCAATCTTAGCCCATTTTTCTCCAATATTTGACTAGGGGTCTTAAACCTTTAGAAAAAAGGTAAGGAGCCGAGCTCAAACCAAATGGTAAAACTGAAAAAACAAAATACTTTATAGTTCCATTTAAAACCCAAGAAAATCCCAAATAGGTATGATGTGTGCTTTTAATAGAAAAATGATGGTATCCTGAAGTTAGATCAAATTTAAACATATAACCATTAGGAATAAGAAATTCTTTAGCAACTTTATGATCTTCAAACTTAAATTTATCTTTATGAACATAAGTGTTCAAAACGCTAAGATCAAGAATTAATCTAAGTTTTCCCGATGCATTGTTCGTTGCTACAGACAAAGGGTTTACGTTATGAGGAATGAAAGGCACTTCATAAACACATTGCTTTTCTATAAGTGAAAAAATAGATTTCTCAACAAATGATTTATTTTTTAAAGCAGACGAATTATTATTCAGGCAAAAAGAAGGAGGTTTAGTAATAAACGGTATAACATATCCATTTTCAATAATAGAAATAATGTCATCACTAGCTTCTATGGTATTTTTCCAAAAATCAATATTACTTTTTAATTTTCCTTTGACAGAACTATCTGATAAAGAACAAGAATTCTCAAAATTTTTACAAAATTTTTTCCCGAAAGTCTATGCTTACAACCCCACTGAGAATGTCTGAAAACGCCCAGTACTTATCATATTCATCCTCACATTGTAAATCACTGTTTTCCGACGGACGCGCTTCCTTGTTCAAACTTCGGGCGTGCTGCGTTCTGAGCGGCTGTATACCCAACGGTGGCTGTGGGGACAGTTCCTGGAGCCATGGATCGAAGCTTTCGACGCCAGACGTCCGGACATCCGTAAGCGAAGTGACCCTCCTCTCCGCAAGAATAGCAGACGACGACCATCCCGCTGGTACCTGCGCTGGTTCTCCATGGAAGATCTTCCGGAACTGAATGCTTTAGCGTTACGGACGCTGCGAAAAGACTTAGAAGAAACACCAAGATTAATGATTAACATGTGAATAAGCTCAAGTTGCACCAATGCTTATCTTGATAAATTGTAAAGCAAGACATGACTTTCTATACGAAATTGATAAATTCTTAGTTAAATAAAAATCACAAATAGAAATTTATACGCACTCGCAAAATCAGACAGTATACTGTTATACATGTAATAGTATGTTAAACAAAGTATAGAGATAAAAATACAGTAAAAATACCGTTACAACTATCGGTGTATCACGGGTATATCTAAGGCAAAAACAAAAGTGACGTAATTATCTAAACATAACATTAAATTTAGCATCTAAACCGCATAACTTCAGGGTAAATCTCACAATTATTCACGGTAAATACTTACACTATTATCTTGATTGTAGCCAGAACTCTCCCTAGCTTTCTTTGCCCTCTCAATCTTGGAACGAGCTCGGTCCTCTGCACGGCGGATCTTTTTATCGTCATCACTGTCGCTGGCAATATCATTTTTCTCATATTCAGCGACAACAGGCCAGCCAAGTGAAGA